TTTTTGAGTTGGAAGATGTCTTATAGCTGAAATCCCATCCCAAAATTGGGGCTTTTGAGGGTTTGATGTTTATTACTAGTAACTATATTTCTTAGGAAATTTTGGATTAATGGGCAATGAAAAGAAGAGTGGTCTGGCCAATGGAGTAAACTCTAATGAATAATTAGAGGTAACTGTGGCGTCTTGTCTTGTCCTGTCCTGTCCTGTCCTGATGTTCATATTTAGCATGCTTTACAAACTCTAGCGGTGCCCTAAGTTGCAATTCCTGGTCACTATTAGACGTCCTTGGTTAACTCCAATTTTCCTTTGCACTTTTGAGTAGCTTGAGGAGGTTAAGAAGGAAATGTGTACATGGAGCTAGGAAGTTGAAGCTGAGTTTCTTTGCTCAAGACTGATGTTTCTGGCATCATATATGTTACTTAAACTTGGTTTCCTTTTTTGTTTATTTGACTGCCTTATGAGATTGATATGAGCATCAACTAGAGGAACAGAGGGATCTTACAGAGCTCAAGATACTCATGCCCCACCCGTGAAGTTTACCCATGTTTGGCAGAATAACAGACATTTCTTTTGGAAATAGTATATGCTTAACCGGCATACTGAATCACTATTTTAAGTATGCCATCAAGATAATTTGATGAAATCATTTTGAGATCCTTATCTAAATGACATGATTAACTATATAGTCCCCCACAGATATAAAATTCTAGTATTCAGATGCTTCTACTTTATTGTTTGAGTGGTTTGCCATTTTCATCTCTAAATCCTATGGTTTTTGGCATTTGGTATAATTGACCTATGTAGATGTTGTATGACAAGGATTTATTTGTCCTTTATGTATATGACCCCTCTCTCTCTCTTCACAGTTGATACCAGATGATATGGAATTTCAATCTGGTGACGTGCCTAATTATACAACTTCAGATGGATCTGTATGTAGCATACATACTTTCGATTTTGTCAAATCCTGTATTTCAGCATGTATGTTATCCATTTGAATTTGCAGATATTTTATAAGAGTTCATAGTTCTTTGGTTCTTAACAGGTCAAGATTCAGAAAGACAGCGAGGTTCGGCTAAAGATAATTGGAACTCGTGTTGATGCTACAGAAATTGTATGTACTTATTCTATCCATCTTGTGATGTGGTGCTAGTAAACATTGGTTTTCTTTTTGGATTTGAAGCAATTTTCTCTCTGCAAATTCTATTCTACTTACTATTGATTGCCCCAAGTATGTGGTCAATGTGTAATATGACAGTTACTAAGTGGGTTTTGACTGGAAATTATGAAATTGTGTATCAAGTAGGGGTACAAGGCTTGGTTGAAATGTTTTTTGGTCCTGAGTATGTTTTGTTCCTGTATTGGGATGTAAGCTGGAGAGTTTTGAGTATACTGATAGAAAGGCTTAGGCTGTCACCAAACTCTAGTAGTTTTATGAACTATCTGAACAGGCATTGTTTTGGATATGTAAACATCACTATCAAGTCGTTCGAGTTTATGTTAAGGTGTCATAGAAGTCCACCATGAACTTTCTTTGATGGTTGTTAAAAAAAAAATATTTATCTTAATAATCTGCTTAATGATTCCAAAAAGGAGAAGAAAGCTGAATAAAACAACTGAAGAATAGGATGCGACTCCATGGGACTATTACAAACAATAGCAATGAAAGCTATTTTTATTTCCATACGTGTAAATGAACGTGTTAATCCTTCAATATCTGCATTTTGACTGCTGGCATTCATGATTTTCTCTTCATTCTTCAATGATCTTTTCCTCACAAATAAAGCTCTTGTTTGCAGTTCTGCATTGGCACCATAAAGGATGACTTCTTGGGTGTCATCAGCGATCCTGGCTCAACTTCCTGATGCTGAAACTGCTTTATTGATTTGTAGAATGTACAGTTGCTCAATGAGCATATGAGTCACCGGGATCTAGTAATATTTGATGCTTGTGTTCATTCAGGCATTAATGCCTTCCCTCCTTTAACGTTGTAGAATAGTTATTGCTGTGGCATTTTGAGCTATAACAACATTTGTCAACAACCGCCTTTTTTGCATGAAGTGCATACATTTCTGCGCAAAACGCCTGGCTATTTGGCTAACTGATTAATGTCTGGACTTTAAGCTGGAAAAAAAATAAAGAAAAAAAGGAAAAAGCTCAAGCGTGACTGAACAGTAGATCTATTTTTGTGCTTGGCTTGGCTTGATTATACGCAATTCTTGAGGTAACCCTACTGCGGATATGTATAATTTATCATATTTTATATGGATTAATTTTGTATACTAAAAATAACTTATTTTATATTAGTACATTAATCGTACTGAAGCAGACAAAGCGGCTTAATGCGAAAAGCAACGCACATTATGGGGTTCCAATGTTTACAGCTGGCCCACCGGTGATTCTAGGAGAGGCCCAGGCCTGCCAATAGACCAAGCTGGTGTGCATGTTCATGTATGTGGTATTGAGTCTGCTGGCCGGTTGATAAAAGTATCAGATATTAGAAAAACCGACCTCCACTAGATGGAGTAAGCGGACAGCGGCGGCCTTCTCCGATGATTCACTGAAGCTAATTCCCGTCACTTAATTAAACCGGTCCAAAGCTCCAAAATCAAGATTCCGTCCAGTAATTAGCTGTCTCTTTTGCTATGCCATCACAAAACAGCACTAAAATCTCTGATTTAAATGTGGACGCTTTACACTTCCCACACTCTTCAACCACACTACTTTCCACTCAACTTCCGGCCGGCTTCACGCTCACACCACCAAGCCACCGTCGCCTTCCGCCCCCCCACCGCCACCTCAACCACCCCCTCCACAATTAATCATAACCCATCAATTCAATCTCTCTGTGAAAAGGGCCAGCTCAAACAAGCTCTTGAGCTCCTTTCCCAGGAGCCCTATCCGACTCAACACACCTACGAGCTCCTCATCCTCTCTTGCGCCAACCAACATTCCCTCTCTGACGCCCTTATTGTTCACCGGAAACTGATCGATAATGGGTTCGATCAGGATCCCTTTTTGGCCACCAAGCTCATCAATATGTATCACGAGTTGGATTGCATTGAACGTGTCCGCCAAGTGTTTGATAAAACTCTTAAGAAAACTATTTATGTATGGAATGCACTTTTTCGAGCATTAACATTATGGGGTCGTGGTGAAGAAGTATTGGGTCTCTATAGCCGTATGAATCGGATTGGAATTCCGTCGGATAGGTTCACGTATACGTATGTGCTGAAAGCTTGCGTTGCTGCTGAGACATTGGGTTCATTGCTACAAAAAGGGAAGGAAATTCATGCTCACATTCTACGACATGGGTATGAGAGCCATATCCATATTATGACTACTATGGTGGATATGTATGCAAGATTTGGTTGTGTGGCAGATGCAACTAGTGTATTCAATTCGATGCCGGTGAAAAATGTGGTTTCTTGGAGTGCTATGATTGCGTGTTATGCAAAAAATGGCAAGCCATTTGATGCATTGGAACTTTTTCACCAATTGGTGCTTGACAACTGCGATACATTGCCTAATTCAGTTACGATGGTCAGCGTGCTTCAAGCTTGTGCTGCGGTTGCTGCATTGGGTCAAGGGAAGTTGATACATGGCTATATACTTAGAAAAGGTCTTGATTCCATTTTACCAGTTATCAGTGCCATGGTGACTATGTATGCAAGATGTGGTAATCTTGAATGGGGAAAACGCGTGTTTTCTCAGATGGAGAAGAAGGATGTCGTTGCTTGGAATTCGATGATCTCGAGTTATGGTATTCATGGGTTCGGAAGAGAAGCTATTGAAGTTTTTAAAGAGATGATATTAAGTGGAGTGTCACCGAGTCCAATTTCATTTGTTAGTGTATTGGGAGCTTGTAGTCATTCTGGTCTCATTGAGGAGGGCAGATTTTTGTTTGAATCCATGATAAAAGAACATGGAATTACTCCTACTGTGGAACATTATGCTTGTATGGTTGATCTTCTTGGTAGAGCCAATCAATTATATGAAGCAGCAAAGATAATACAGGACATGCGGATTGAACCAGGAGCCAAGGTCTGGGGTTCTCTTCTTGGATCGTGTAGGATCCATTGTAACATTGAGCTTGCAGAGAGAGCAAGCAAGAGGCTTTTTGAGCTCGAACCTAGAAATGCAGGTAATTATGTTCTTTTGGCTGATATCTATGCAGAAGCTGAGATGTGGAGTGAGGTGAAAAGAGTGAAGAAGCTTATAGAAGCTAGGGGACTGCAAAAGGTTTCTGGTTGTTGTTGGATTGAAGTAGGAAGAAAAGTTTACTCACTCACATCTGTTGACGAGTTTAATCCACAAATTGAGCAGATTCATGCATTGCTAATAAAACTGTTCATAGAGATGAAGGAAAAGGGTTATGTGCCAAAAACCAAAGTTGTGCTTTATGATCTTGAAGCAGATGAGAAAGAGCGAATCATCCTCGGTCATAGTGAAAAATTGGCTGTTGCCTTTGGCCTGATTAATAACAGCAAAGGGGAGACCATAAGGATCACCAAGAACTTGAGGTTATGTGAAGACTGCCACTCTTTTACGAAGTTTATTTCTAAATTTGCAGGTAGAGAAATATTAGTTAGAGACGTGAACCGCTTTCACCATTTCAAAGATGGAGTTTGTTCATGTGCGGATTACTGGTAACTGGGAATTTGGTGTCAACTCTTAGATTTTCATTATAGAATCCTCTAGAGACCTCATCTAAAGCTCGTAGAAAACCTTTTTTTTTTCTTTTGTTTTTGTACGGCTGGTTTTGTCTTCCACAGGTACAGTTATAAATCTACTTCACATTGTATGTCATAACCATTTACCATATCAAAGTATAAACATACCTATGGATTTGCATGTACATTCGATTCTTGCGCATTCGTGCCTGATCGGCGAGGTCTAATCGTTATGCGAGCCTACGATGCCAAACCTTGTACTGTAATAAACGAACATGCATGCAATGCAAAATTTAATTTAAAAAAAAAAAGGTACATGTGCAACAATTTTAAGAACTTTTTTTTTTTCCAACCACTGACCTTTCTTCACACCCTTCTAACTTCCAACTGCTGGACCCAGAAACCTAAAATACATTCACAGACCGCTAATATCCTCGCCGTAACGTCTGTTGAGTATAGAACGACGTATTCATTCAAAGAATTTTGTGTGGCTAAAATTATCAATTACCCCCGTCCTACAGCTAACTCAAAACATTCTTTTCCTAAAACGACGACATTTCTAACAAAATAAGCACTTCCGTTCCAGTTTGGTATAAGAAAAACTAGACAGCTCTGATCTGTTCACTGCACTGCACTGAAACTGAGCCATCTTGCTTCATCTTTATGAGACTATTCTCGATGTTCCGCAGGACTGGTTTGTAGCTGGAACAGCACAGACATAGTTAAGTAACAAAAATGGAAAAGGAAGGCAGAATAAGACGCTCTTTTAGCAGTTACACATATTAGAGAAGATACATACAGGCGTGCAAGAGCATTGTAAGCTTGTGTAGCTTGCTGGAGTCGTGCTGAGAGCTGCAGCACCTCTGCAGATAGACCCTCTGCTCTGCTTTTTTCATTTACAAGTTGAGCCTATACAAATCAAACAACTAGGAGTAAGCATTATGCTTAATGCATCTGTACCAGTCTCCCATTCGTTTTTGCCTAAAAAACCCAAGGAGACGAAACAAGTAAGATATCAGACACAAAATTGCAAGCGTAGGAAAATACTTATTTTTTTGGACCTCAAATGCATATAGGAACGAAACCCTTATACCTTAAATGCGTACAGGAATGGACCCCCCCCCCCCCCAACAAGCAAACACACCCACAAAAACAAAAAAATGCCAAAAAAAACACAGCTATACACACAAAAAAATGAAGATACTAAATGCATAATACAATTGACAAGA